TATTGTAATGAATTTGGTCATATTTGTTGTGTCGATTATCCATCAATTGCAGCAAATAATAGATGATATTGTAATATTCCATTGCCTAGTATGTCATACCATTGCAAATATTCCTGAGCTAACTTTGTTCGCCCATACAGAAAGAGTGAACGAATGAATGATGAATGAGCGGATGGGTGGATGGACAGATGAATGAATGAATGAATGAATGAATGGGTGTGTGTCAAAGCGACGGACACACTTACACACGTACCCGGTGACGCCCACCACGATAATAAAAGGTAGACACTTGACGAGTTAAATGCAATATGATGTAGTAGCGTGAATTAACCGATTCGATGCGCAATTGTGATTGAATGTCTCATTTTGTAGTTTAAAATAGGGGTGGGCAATGGAATCAAGATAATTTGTGATCTGCCGCCATGCAGACCAGAAAATAATAATTATTATAAATCCTCCCCCAATAAACAAGGTTCTCTAACTGCATAAATGAAAGATAGACTATTTCCTCAAGGGGGCGACATTGTCACGGCATCAGTGTGATTGGAAACTTTATAAAATGATAACATCAAAATAGACATTAAAATAAAATAACACGTTTTATGACCATAAATGACATATCCATGCATGACCACACATACATGAAAAATCGTCGAGGCAGGACTCATCGTCATGATCACACTGACATCCATGTACTCGACAAATCATTTAAATTATGACGGACGAACAGGCGTCGTATGATCCACCAAAGTTTCGGGCGCAGCACAATCTGATATCGCGGTCGCACGGCAAATCCTCTGAGCAAATATGCGGGGGCCAAATTTCTTCATCGGGAAAATGCTCTGTTTTTCTTTTTTAACATCTTGATGTCGTCTAACCAACCTCGGTCTGCAGAACTCGTGATATCACATTATTCTTTACATATACTGTGTCACCTTGGGGGTTTTTTTTTTTTTTTTTTTAATATGCAAACAATATCTTGCAGCTATGTTATTCGTCGTATTACGCATGGATTTACGCTGTGTCCGTCCGATCTAACCTTCTTGGGCCAAAACACTTGAAAGAAAAAAAATTTTTTTTCGCAACATGACGGGAAAAAGTTGCGATCAGACAGGTTGGCTGCCGAAAGGACGTATAAACGTGACTTGCAGATTTCTTGCAACACAAACACTACAAATTAAAGTTCTAATTCTGGTTTGATGCTTTCAATAAACCTGTATTTATTTTATTTTTTTTATTTTTATCTTTATTTTTTTTTTTATTTTCATTTTATTTTTTTATTTTACTTTTTGTCCACATAGTTCTGTGCAGGAGAAAAAAATTATTCATCTCTTTACATACATACAGTACATACATACATACATAGAAACATACATACATACATGCATGCATGCATGCATACAGTACCACTAAATATTTACACACAAAAAATTATTTTCCTGTTATGTACGAATGTGCGTATGTGCGTACGTACTTGCCTACTTTTGCACCTACTGCTTAAATATTTACGAGACAGAAAAAAAATTTTTTTTTTTTTTTCTTGCGCGCCTTCTCTTTTTTTTTCCCGCTGCAGTTCGACGAGGCGATTCCAAAGTCTGTCGATTGTGTGTCCGTCTTCTCGCTATCGTCTCCTCATGCAACCTTCCGACGTCCCGCAAATGGACTCGCTCGAATTTGATCAAAAGGGTGTGTGTACACGGCGTGTATGACATGCACCTTCTATAATATAATGCTGGTTTCAATAACATGACATTGCGAACATTCCAAACACGGTCTAACCACAATAATCTTCAAACTGCATCAAAAGTGTTTGATTAACAATATGTGCGCACATAAAATATAATGTAATGTAAAATTGATTGCTGTTTTACTAATAATAACCAAAACGTACGATGATAATATAGATGTTATGCATACATGTAAAAAAAGAAAAAAAAAAATTTTTTTTTCTCTGTGGCGGTTCTTATGCGGGGCCCTTACTCAAATACGGCATTTTTTTTTTAAAAAAAAAAAAAAAAAAAAATCCTCTGCACACTTGCATTACATCAAACCTCTATCTATACACACATGCGACATGTTAAATTTTTTTTTTAATGCGTATCTTCAAACCTCCTAAATCACCCACCAACATCATCCCTATCGTGCGTGTGCATACAGTACATACATGCATACAGTACATACGGTACATGGGTGCATACGTATTTCATCTCTTGCAGGCAGCTAAAACCACTCCTGTTGGAGGTCTGAAGTAATGCCTTGGCCTCCAACGATCGGTCTTGAATTATTTCTCCATTCGAAGAGGCATAAAATAAGAAACGATTACCTCGACGGTTCATCGCTTTTTTTTTTTTATTTGATTATATTATTTCATCATTATCATTATTTATTATTTTTTTGTTATTATTATTATTATTTATTTTATTTTTATTTTTATTTTTATTATTTTTACTATTATATTATCACTCTTCTTCTTTTTATTCTTTTTTTCCCTTCTATTCTTTACATGCATCCTCCAATTCTTTTCACTTGACTTATTTATATTTTATTCACCTCACCACTTTTGCCATAGTACCACTATTGTCCCCTTCTATTCTTTGTTGTTTATATGATAATCTGATGCGCATAAATAATTGGGTTTGATTGAATTGTGCCCTATTTCACTAGGCTTGTTTGATTGATTCTTTGGGAAATGTTGTTTGATTCGAGGGTTAGTTCATTGATGATGCATTACTTATTTTATCTATTAAAACCGACTTCCAATTCTGAAGCGCGAAAAAATTCGCATAACTGTTACCAATTGTTTACCTGTCCACATACAGTACACATAGATATGCTGTATATATCTATCTATCTATGCACCTATCTATGAATGTGGTGTTTCCTTCAACATTACTTGACTTGTTTATTTTATTTTGTGTTTCCAAAAAGATAACCCAATAAATGCGGTGACACTGCAGC